AATTCCAAAACAGATTTCCATTAAGGAATATGGTATATGGAATATGGTATATGGTATATATTTTCATTAAGGAATATGGCTAGACCAGTCCATACAGCATGTGACTCTCGATTCTGAGGTCACGAGTTTAAGCCCATCTTGTACCCAACATGCACAGAGCCTACTTTAAAAAAAAATAAAGGAATATGATATGAAAGTTTTATTCAGGGTGTCTGAGTGGCTCAGTCAGTAAAGCCTCTGCCTTTGGCTCATGATCCTGGGGTGCTGGGATCCAGTCCCACATCGGGCTCCTTGCTCAGCAGGGAGTCTGCTTCTTCCTCTGCCCGTTCGCCGCCCTTTGTGCCCTTGCTCTCTCTCTCTCTCTCTCTCACAAAAATAAATAAATAAAACATCTTAAAAAAAAAGGTTCTGGGGTGCCTGGTGGCTCAGTGGGTTAAAGTCTCTGCCTTTGGCTCAGGTCATGATCCCAGGGTCCTGCGATCGAGCCCTGCATTGGGCTCTCTGCTCAGCAGGGAACCTGCTTCCTCCTCTCTTTGCCTGCCTCTCTGACTAATTGTGATCTCTGTCTGTCAAATAAATAAATAAAATCTTAAAAAAAAAATAGTTCTATTTAAATGCTTTGTTATTAGATTGAAGTTTGAGATGCATATATGTGTTGAGCTAGAATTTATACAAAGTGGTTATTATTTCTGTCCACCTAGTGTCCTTGGGCAGTATCCTCCCTTCTTCACACCGTTTGATTCCGATGGGACTGTCAATCATGACCCTATCATGACTCATGACTCCTGCTATCATAATCTCAGAGATGCCAAGTGCCTGGGTCTGATCAAGGACAGCATTCCATTCTGGCAAAAATAATTGATCTCAAGAGGAGAACATCTAACCCAAGCAGGAAGACTCAGACTCCTCTGGGAATAATACCTGGATATTAGCAAGAAGAAGTCCTTTTCTGCTGGGGCTACTAGCAGCTATTTTTCCTACCACAAAGACTGACTACAGCAGAAAAGAATACGGGTCAATATGCAGAAAGAACCAGTACCCAAATAAGGAGATGAAGAATGAGTGAGTACCTTAAGACAACACTTGAGTACCTGAATATCTAATGTAAAGTGCCCAACTAATTCAAACTCACATGAACTCATTTTAATTTCCGAAACTAAATAACCTAGGATAGATAGGAAGCTTTACAAGAAAGCAACCCAGATAAATAATGTATAACTGATTTATGTCTGTTTGCTGGTAATATATAGATAGTACTATCCTTTTCTCTGAGCTACCTTCTCCTTGTATAATTTTTTCCAGGTTACAGAGTTATCAAATGGTAGAAGTGAAATTCAAATTGTTGATCTACTCTGTGTCCAATATCCATGAACTCTCTATGTCCAAGGGGATGTGTTTTGTTGAGCAATAAGTAATGCTTATTGCTTATATACATATTTATACTTTTATCTCCCAAATCAAAAAAGTCATCGTAATGAATTCTCCTAGGCTTTCTAATCTTCAGTCATTATGATTAAGCACATAAATCCACCGTGAATGTGCTATTCTTTTCGTATGTATTTAATGTGAGTCTGAATTAAAAATTTACTAAGTTTATATATATAAACTTACCACATCATCTTTTACACAAGGTTTGTGTGTAACCAGTAGCCAGCAACAGTTTTGCTTTTGAACCTCAAAACCATTTATACCCTAAAATAAAAAAATAAACATAATTTAATGTAGTCATATAATATTTACACAAATAATAAGTACAATGCATAGCATAATTGTAAGCTTTCTTAGATTAATAATCCTAAGTGGTAATTTTAAGTATCACTGAGAACAATTCACTGGGTTTTGGGTAAAGTTAACCCGAAAAAAAAAAAATGAAACCAAATTATTTGGTATAGAAAGAAAATAAATTGTTTATTAAGATATAAAACTTAGCCTGGGCGCCTGGGTGGCTCAGTGGGTTAAGCCACTGCCTTCGGCTCAGGTCATGATCCCAGAGTCCTGGGATCAAGTCCCGCATCGGGCTCTCTGCTCAGCAGGGAGCCTGCTTCCCTCTCTCTCTCTTCTGCCTGCCTCTGTCTACTGTGATCTCTCTCTGTCAAATAAATAAATAAAATCTTTAAAAAAAAAAAAAAGATATAAAACTTAATATTTTCTGATATATGGTCATGATTTTGTCAAGAAAAGGGATTATTGTAAGAGGTTATATGCTAGCAGCCTGAGTTGTACTCTAGTTGTTTTATTTGGCTTGCAAAAAAAAAAAAAAAAATTTTTTTTTTTTTTGAGAAAGAAAGAGGACAGAGAGCATGAGTGGGGGGTAGGGTAGAAGGGGCAGAGGGAGAGAGGAAGAGAGAATCTTAAGTAGGCTTCCCGACTCTGAGATCATGGCCTAAGTTGAAATAAAGAGTCAGATACTCAACCTACTGAGCCACCCAGGTGTCCCTTGGCTTGCACAAAATTTAAAAAAGCAAACAAAAAACAACTTGGAATTCCCTTTGTAAAAAAGCACTGTACCAATCCCACACAGGACCTGTTACTTTTTAGTGACAGGTGGACTGTTCACACCCTTATAATACGTCTCTAGTTTCTAAAGGCATACATTTGTAACATCGGGATTAGACTATATATATAGAACCAAAGGGCAGAGCTAGGACTGCAAGGTCAAAGCTTCAAGAAGCAATGCCTTAACATTAGGGTTTTTGTTCTGTTTTTTATTAACTGAAAAAATGTTTACTTGTAAAGTTCTATTAGATTCTTTGGTTATAAACATATTCTACCCTCAAAAAAGCTGGAAAGAAGATGCAGGGAACCACACTTAGTTTAAATCACTGTACTTCTACAAAGTAACTGTTTTTACAGTGAGTTCACAGGAGACTTGGCTGTCTAGCTTCGTAAAGAGGAAGAGCTGTGCCTGTCCTAAGTAACTGGTTTGCTTTCATTGAATGACTTCAGTGACATTTAACTGATCTTATGCTGCTGCTCTAAATGTTAGAAACAAATGTGTGACTCACCTCTAGCAAATTTACAGAATCTAGGGGCATATTTAGGAACTAAAACTATCTCTAGTTTCATCTTACCTATAGTCCTTTCATCCAGATTTTCCCACTTTTAATTTTTCTTCTTATATTGCTTTTCTGTAAGCTGATGCAAATCCTTCCCAAAAATAAGGCTAAATGAAAATAAATAATATACATCAAATGAAAAGAGGTTCAGAAGAAGTCCTAAGGCAGTTCAGAAAAGCAGTCATTACTTACAAATGGGTGTGTATGCTTGTGTTCAGATGGGAGAGGGGAGTTTTGGAAGCCACATCTCAAATATACAGAGATGGGGGGAAACATTTCAGGAAAAATAAATATGAACAAAGGCAAGGGCAGGTAAATATAAGATGAAAAAAAAGACTAGCTCAGTTTTAGTAAAGAGATAAACATGAAGAGAAGTAGCAGAAAATATCAGAGCAGCAGAAGGGTTGGAAGGTACACTAGAATAGGGGTTTGGATTTCGTGTTGGAAAAACGTGTAATAAAAGATTTCAGCATAGATGAGTGACATGTACAGAATTGTCTTTAGTAAGGTGGATCTGTTAACAGTGTGTAACATGGTTTGGGGTAGAGAGAATGGTAGATCAGTGACCTATCAGGAAAACGCTGCAGAAATCCAGGTAAAACAGGGCAGTAGATGAGAGAGTAAGCCCAACTAGAGTGCCACGGCACAGGAGGCAATGGTGGCAATATAAAAATATTCTACCCCACTAACCTGGGAGACCAGTAAATTATCAGTCAACGAGGGATCTAAAAAATGAGCTTGTGAGTGTGCTGTCTTTCATGCTTTGAATTCAATCCGAATATTAATACTGACATGCAGCTAACTTTTATAGCTCACTTAATATGGGCCAGGCATGATGCTAAATGTTTCAAATTATCCCATTTCTACTACATAAAATCCCTAAGAAGCCAATACTCTGTTATCCCCAGTTCATAGAACAGAGAGGAGTTGAGTTTAGATAACCTTCCTAAAATCGCAAAGCCAGTAAGTCCCATAATTAGCTTAGAATCTAAGCAGTATCACTCCAAAGCCTGAGGGCTTGACCACTATCTCAGACTAACCCACACCGCGCTATTTTATTTAGCATAATGTAAAAATTACCAGAGCTGTAATAACGGGGCGGGCCACTAGGAGGCAGTAAACGCCTTAACTCCGGAGACCTTCTATCTAGTAGTTAATTTGGTAGGACGATGGAAGAGAAAAGCTTCCCAGCCTCGCCGTGCTGGGAAGTCCTTAAATTCCCCCACTATTCAGAATCAAATTCTCTAATCCTGGCAACTCCAGAGCATTCTCAGGCCAGCAGTTTCGCCATCACTGGGGCCTGTCAGAAATACATAGTGTCCTCAGCTCCGTCCCAGAATTACTGAATCAGAATCTGTGTTATAAAAGAGCACCCGTTGATTAATAGACCCGTTTAAGTTTTAGAAGCACTGGCCTAATTCAACCTCTAAGTTTCATAAAGTACCCAAACCCACCCATCAGAAAGACAAATACAGGCTGGACTGGGGTGCACTGGCGAAGGGGTGGGGGTAGAGGGCTCCTGGTGTTGCAGTCCGCAGGGCTGGCGGGGAAACAAAAGGGCCTCACCCCGTCTAGGAGGATGATGCGCCCCGCGCAGGAACTGGTGGTGAAGTACTGTTCTCGCCCATTCAGGAGCTGCACAAGTTCTACCACATCCTCGTCCACACTGCCCTTCCGGCTGAGGTCCGCTTTGCTCAGACACTGGGCCTTCCATCTCCTGAACTCTGCGGAACGATCCATGCGAGGAAGGCTTTAGAGTCTTTACTTTGACATCAGCCACCGCCTTTCCCTGGGGGAAGCCATTTTGAGGCGAGTGGTGGCCGGAAAGGCCCAAACTTCCTCCTCGTTCCGAGTTCGGGAGCGCGTCTTGCCCTCCTCTGAGGGCGGGGAGACAAGCGCGGGCGAGGAGGAGCCGGCAAGGGTAGAAAACGCCCAGGTCCGTCCCCTTTTTCGTGGAATCTGCTAGCCTTCGCAGGTTTTGCTTCCCCATTCTAGAACCGGGTAAGTGGTTTTTAAAAAGTCCGCTTTAGTTGTTGAGGCAGCGGGTCTCCCCGCCGCTCGTCCACACAGGAGCCGAGTTTGACTGTGGTTGCGCTCTTGTCCCGCGGTCTGTCCTGGAGAATCGGAAAAAGGAGCTCGTGGCCGAAGACCTTTCCCTCTACGGGATGCGAATTCCTCATGCGTAAATCACTCAGGGACTTTCGCTTGCCGGCCGCGAGCCCCTATCCTGGTCTTCAGGGAGATCTGCGTTTCGGCTGCAGCCCGCAGGGCGCGGTGGGCCCCGCTCCGGCCGCCAGGCCTGGGCTTGGGCATTCCCGCTGCAGCCGGCGGCGGCCGAGCGCAGTGTACCCAGCCCCGCGGCGGGAAGGGGCTTGTCCTCCGCGCTTCTCCCGAGCTCCGCCCGGTCGGAAGTCGCCTCTGCCATCAGAGCTGCTGTATTACTTTTGGAGAGAAATGCCTAGTTTCCTTCACCCCCCCACTCCCCACCCAACTCCGGTGACCCTGACCCAGAATGATTTTCGAAGGAAAAAAATTACAAAATACCACGTAAACACATCGTTAAATGCTCACTTAGTCCGAGACGAGGCTTTTCTCAGTGACCAGGGAATGCGTTAATGATTGAACTCTTTAAAGGCTGAAGTTTGGACTGGTAGCGGAAAAGTTGTGCGATTCCCATTGAAGCCACTGGCACGCTGCGTATATGTCTGGTCAGCAGCTGCATATCCCACCGAGCTCTTCTCCAGCCCTGGAAAGCGGCCGGCCTAGTTCCATCCAGTCTTTACATCCAAGAACCTGGATGTAAACCACTCTTTCCAGAAGTGGGCATTGAGATCCAGACCAAGAAAGCAACCTGACAAGGTCACAAGGTCACACAGCCAGGAAGCCACATTTCTTAGGTTACTTTTAATTTTTTTTTTTTTTTTTTTTTTTTTACATTTCTAGCTTAAGACTATAAAAAAAGAGAAGGCTTACATGAAGCATTCTTGATCAACAGCAGCACATTTCGTAATGATGATTCTCTTTCCAAGTTCTTTTTTTTTTTTTTTTATGTCTTGCCAGAAATTCTTACTTAATCTTACGCGCTTCTCTCATTAAGTGCCCTTGCTCTGGCTTTGTGACTTGATTTCTTCATTCTGTATTAAAATATACTTCTAACATTTTCCCCATCCCTTTAGTTTTTATTAAACCAAACAGATTGAAACAGAGCATAGAAAAAGGTTACTGAGGAGGAATTTTAAATTCTGTATTTCCTAGATTTCCGAAGTATGCTTGGCAACTTTTTAAAGGTTTTATTTGTTTATTTGACAGAGAGAGAGAGATCACAAGAAGGCAGAGAGGCAGGCAGAGGGGGGTGGTGGAAACAGGCTCCCTGCTGAGCAGAGAGCCCTATGTGGGGCTCCATCCCAGGACCCTGAGATCATGGCCTGAGACGAAGGCAGAGGCTTAACCCACTGAGCCACCCAAGTGCCCTGCTTGGCAACTTTTTATAGGTCAAAAGTACAACCCAAAATTAAGCCAGGTCCTCTAATTTAAAGTTTACACTTGATGAATAGAAAAATCTATTTGAAAACACTAGCAAGGTGGCAGACCTGCTGACATGTAAATGATTTAGTCTAACAGAGCCTGGTGCATGCTGGCATGCTGCGGAGTGCTCACACAACTGTTGCAGTTAATCTCGGCAAGGATGGCAAGCGAGGGAGTACTGGCCCCATTTTACAGATAAGGAAATTATTAGTTTTCCTAATAGAATGATGTCCTGTATATCACTACTGGATCACCCTAACTTACAGACTTTTGGAAAATTTCACACTCTGAGCAGATGCCTTAATCATAAAATATGTAATCCTACCTGCAGGTTAGTTGAATTTCATATTGCTAGCTCAGCCTGTCTCACTATCATCATTATAAAGTATATTTTTAAGAAGTTAAGTATCTTCTATGCCAACATTTCAAAGGGTAAGATGAAAAGGATTGTATAGTAAGAAAAAAAATCAATCAACATTTAACATAGAGGACTAGGGTTCTAGCTCTGCCTCTGTGTGACGCTGGTGAGTCTCTTAACCTCTTAGAATGTTTTCTCATCTATAAAATGAATGGTGATTTTATTTCTGTTTCTGCGTACAATTAAATAGTTGCTTTCCTCCCTATTGTGAAAATAATTATACCAGTGGGCATAAAATACTTGGTTTTTAGAAGAAATCAGTTATTAGGGGTTTAAGGATTATAATTACTATTAGTGTATTGTATTATTTTATTCTTTTTATTATTCCCTTTGACATATCACCTTATGTATTATATATTATGAAGCAGGTGATGATTCTGTGAATAGTTGAAGGGGTTTTCAAAGGCAGTTTGTGCAGTTTGAAGCCTGATCCATCGTAGTGGCAAAGGCTCAGTAGGAAATAAGATGGACAGAAGCAAAGTAGAAGACAGCGCTGTCAAGGTTATGCCGGTCTCCTTACATGCTTGATAGGATAAGATGGTAGTACTAGGTGAGGCAGCAGGGTCTTCTAAATCCAGTATTAAGGATGAGTATCCTTTTTCCTTTGTTCTTTTTTCCCAACCTAGCAGATACCAAAATGTAGGGGGGGGTGCAGAATGTATATGTTAGATAATTTTGATAGATCCTATTTCAGAATAATTTTGCTTTTATTACTGCTACAGTTCTTTGAGGATAATAATGATGTCTGTTGGTAAAAAGGTAGAGGCAGGTGCTTGAAAGAAATAAATACGTAGGAAGTAGGTAAAAGTGGAAAAGTCGCTGCAGATCTTACATGGTGTATGTAGCTGTGTGAGAGAACGAGAGCACAGTTAACAGGAGCTAGGAGGAGGGTTGGGGCATTTTCTCTTTGCCCTTTGTGTTCTCTGGGGTTAGCACAGTGCCTCGCTTACATAATGTTCAAAAAATACATGCTGAATGGGTAATAGCCAGTGTTTGCTATTAATATTTTGTTTAAATGATTCTCCAGACTGAATTATTTGAGGTGAAATTCTTGTTTATAATCCGAGTCCCGTAAATATTGTTATGTAAAATCAGAAGTGATTATGGAATTATAGAATCAAGAATATTTTAATGAGTAAGAAATTTAATGAGTAAGAAAAGAGAAAAGAGATGGGAAAGGAATCATGATGTCTACTATATATAGGAGTGAACATTTGCAGGGTTCAGTGCTTGATGCTTGCTGTGTCTCTATCACAATAACCCTGAGTGGGAGCCCAGTTTTGAGATGAAGAAGCTCAACAAAGTTGATTGCCTTGCCCAAGGCCATCTGGCTAGGAAATGATAGAGCTGGAATTCATACTGAAAGCTGTCAGATTCCAAAACCTGTACTCTCACTGTGTTGCCGACAAAAAGGGAAAAGAAAGCTGTGTTATCTCCAGAATGGAAAACTGTGAGCTGGGCAACCTTGTTTCTTATTTTTGTTGTTGCTGGGTTTTTTTGTTTGTTTGTTTGTTTTATTGTCTTTATATTTTCACTTTCTTGTCTAAGAAATACCTAGCCTGAGTGAAGAGCTAGATAGAAATTCAGTAGTGAGACTGCTGGTGGGTGTGGAGTGAACTGCCTTTTCCAGGTCCTCACCCCGCACAGGTGTCATCCTTAGGGACAGCTCAGCTGCTCTACAATGACCTTAGGTTTATGTCTTCTGCCTGTTTCTGCCCCCTTCTGCCCCCTTGTATTTGAGGTTTGCCCTTTAGGACATGTCACTGCTAAACCACCCTCTAGCAACAGACAATTTACTTTCTCCTCTGTGCTGGTACTATGTGGCATCACTTAAAGAGTCTTAAAATGATACGCTTTTTGGTTAATTATATCAGGAACTTTCCACTAATAACTGCTTTTGATCGCCCCCCTGTACTTGGAGTGACATTTTATAGTTAGCACATAAATCTGTTCTGAGTAGTCCTGTGTTGAGCTTCAATATAGTAAAAGTCTGAGTTCTTTCATCTCAAGTCCTAGTTTCTGCAACTCTTTTTGATCTTTAGCCTACTCATGGTTGACGAATATAATTATTCCAGAAGTTAGCAACGATGTTCCAGGTGGTGGCAGAGTCTACCTAACTATCAGATGTGGTTAGTATCAAGAAATTGTGATAAACCACAAGCAAAATTATGGAAATACAGTCAAAAACCTTTTCGTTTTATTGCTATAGGTATGGAAGATTTCCATAATTAGCTATTTTTCTATTCAAATGTTGTTTACTTTTTCTTAGAGTGTATTTTAACTCTGAGTTTTCATTTTAATGATAACAGTAGTAGAAAAAAAAAGTAACAGTAATAGGACAGAAAGGTTACCTGTAAATGACCCTTGTGACTTATAAAAGATTACATAAAGCATTTTTTTTCGTTTTTCATGTTTTCCTCCTTTGTTAAATTGAATGAACTTCATAAAGCTAAGTGTTTCACCATTGATAAATCTCAAAAACTTAATGTTGAGAAGAAAAAGCAAGTTGCAGAATTAAGTACAGTATGACCCAATCTAAATAAAGTTTGGGACCGTGCAACACAATAACACATATTGTTGCATGAAGTAGTGATACGACGTCATGCCTGGGACTGATGAGCACTGAGTTTATGGTAATAATCACCACTTAAAAGGTTGGGCCAGAAATGGGTTTGGGGATGGGTACAGAAGGCTTTAGCTATGTCTATAATGTTCTAGGTTTTTAGAATGTTGAGATTTATTAAAGCAGGGGGCAGGTAAATGTGTTCATTATATGCTTTATGATTCTCTCTATATTTGAAATATATCATAATCTAACAGAAGGTCTATTTATCCAATGTTAATAAAACTTAACAAATTTATAAGATGTAACAGCACAAGCTTGCCCAAAAAGAAACCTAAGATACTGTTTCATGCTATGTCTAGCCAGATGTTTTTGTTTGCATGTTTGATTCCCTTGTGGAAGGCAAAGAATCCCTACAGGAAGTAATATCAAGTATTCTGCTTTGTAGCTGAAGGATTTGTAATATGGAAGGTCCTTAAACATGAAATGAGATCTATGTAAGCTCATGATTTAAATTGTTGTTTGAAAAATTGTTTGATCTGCCCCCTCCAGGGGGAAAAACATAGTGATACAGCCTAGATACCATATGACAATAGACTGTTTTTTTTTCTTGGTGTCTAGATCACCATGGCGACTGGACAGAAGTTGATGAGAGCGATTCGAGTTTTTGAATTTGGTGGACCTGAAGTGCTGAAACTCCAGTCGGATATGGCAGTACCAATTCCAACAGACCATCAGGTGGAAATAATTCCATAAAAATAGGCAATAATTACACTGAGTGCAAGTCTCCAGCACATCAGGCTCATGTTCAAAAAAAGCAGATTCACAATAATTCATGAACACAGTGGATTAGGACAGTTTATACTGATGCTATAAAGAGAGCATAATTATAACTGTTAGTGAGATACATCCATGAAAAGGGAAAATAACTTGCTCTAAGAACATTTTTGAGGTTGAGGATCATCTATGAAGTGCAATAATTGAATTTTTCTGCATGGAGTCATAAGTAGTTTTGAACAAGTTATTCTATTACAAACTTTCATGATTTCTATTTTGTGCACAGTAGGAAAATCATTTTCTTCTGCATACATGCCTCCTATATATGATTTAAGAGAATTTAAATGAAGAGTTTAATCATTTCTGGTGACTTTAACAATATACTTTCTCATTAAAAATTATGTATTTTTATTACTGCACCTTCCATGACTCCCAAGTCTCATTTCCTTAATGAACCTTGAAGCATCTGAGAGTTTTTACAGTTTGGCCATAACCTAACTTTAGAGATTCATATCTTATTGCTCCTTTTCAATAGACTGTGCTGTAACAAGCAGCATTGTCTGGTTTCCCCAAGAGCCGCTTTTATTCCTTCTGTCTTTGTACATACTATTCCTTCTACCTGAAACATCCTTTTCTCCCGTTCTGAAAGAATATCTACTCTTCTTTTAGGGCCTACTTCGGATACCACTTTCTTTGTAAGGCCTTCTCTTACTCTTACAGCAAAAGATATCATTACATATTAAATAAGGTAAAATTAGCTTCTGTGGTAGATGTAACCTCAAAATCTCAATGGCTCAACATTAGAAAATTATTTTTCATTCACTAAATTCCAAAATTCTAAAATATCAGTGGGTAACTCTCAAAGAGTGATTTGTGGACCCAGCCTTCTTCCATCATGAGGCTCTGCCACCTTCAACACCTCTGTCTTCTGGGGTCATGTCTATGAAAGGGTGAAGGCACAGTGTGGATTGCCTAGAACATCTTTATGGGCCAGAAAGTGGCTCTGGTCACTTCTGTTCACATTCTGTTGGCGAAAACTCAATTATAAGGCACCAAGAAATAATATTCTTCCTATGGAAGGAGGAGGAGGAGGAATTGGGTTTGATGAGCACATAAAGGTTTGTGCCACACATCCTTTCAAGTATGTCAACTATTTTCCCAAAATGTTTTTAATATAACACATTAATAAGCCTTTCTGTCTTATCTTTTTTATGTATATGTTGGTTTGCAAAACTGTAACAGGAGCCCATTGAAGGTGAGGTTTTCCCATCCATTTTTATAATTCCCATAATCAGTAGAGTCGTAGCCATTAATGCTGAATGAATACCTAAATGTTCTGCGTGAATGAAAATACATGGTCATTGCAGGTTCTAATCAAAGTCCATGCATGTGGTATAAACCCAGTGGAAACATACATTCGTTCTGGTACTTACAGTAGAAAACCGCTCTTACCTTATACTCCTGGTTCCGATGTGGCTGGCATAGTAGAAGCTGTTGGAGATAATGTATCTACTTTCAAGGTATTACATTTTAAATTATTTCCATTTTAGCTTAATATTTTTCTTAAAATATTTTAACATAGCTTTAAAGTATGTCCTTAGTCTTTAAAAGGCCCCGTTACAGATTAAGGAGAGCATTTGCAGTGATGAGCACCGGGTGTTGTATGGAAGTGTTGAATCACTGTATTGTACACCTGAAACTCGTATTACACTATCTGTTAACTAACTGGAATTTAAATAAAAACTTCAAAAAAAATGAAAGGCCCCATTACACAATTTCTGCCACTTGGGGGACTCCTCTATTCAAAAAAGAGATTGGCTTTTATCTAGAGGTCTTCCTAGTTTCCATTGTTGGGGATAAGCGCTGGGTAAATTCTGTATCTTCACATTCTCACAGAATTCAGCTGTGATCCTTTTGATGTAGGAGAAATATGTAAGGACAGAAAATAGGCAAGGAAATTATACTATTTCCTCTCAATAATACACAAGCCAACATAATGTTTAATTCTTTCTATAAATTTAGTTTCATAAGATAAAGGAAAGGCCAATTCTTTCGAATAATAAGTAAAAGATGAAAAGAATGCCAGGTCAACTATACATTTTTGGAGCTCTGACTCAGATCAAGGTGACTGAGTCAATGAAAATATTATGATCGGGGCTTTTGTTATTTATATGCCAAAAGAAATCTAAATCATGGATAGTATATTCATGTTCCAGCATCTTTCCTCATAATTCCTTGACCTGCTCCACTTTGGCAGCACATTTGCCAAAATTGGACCAAGACAGAGAAAATTAATGTGGCCTCTGCACAGGAAGGCATTCCGATTCCTGTGGCTGTGCTCCCCTCAGCCCATGGCGGTCTGGCTTCTGCCCTCATTGCTCCACTGAAACGCTTCTTGCTAATGTCGCTAATGGCCTCTCTATTGCCAGAGTTAATGGGCCCTTTTATGTCATTATCTCTCTTGACTTCTTGGTGACATTTGACACTGTCAGCCACTTAACTTTTTCTTAAAAATTTTTTTTTCCTTTCAGCTTCTATGACATCATTTTCTCCTGTCCTTTTCCCCACTTCCTCCTAGGCATTGTTTTTCAAGCTGCTTTTTCTTGGGATGCTCCTCAAATTTCATAATTGCCCAGTGTTCTCAATCTCGTTTTACATCTCTGCTTTTGGTATTCTGTGCCTTCTTCAGGATGATCCCATGGTTTCCATGATCACATGTGATATCTTTAGGTTAGAATTTTCCACTAAGCTATGAACCTGTCCTGTCTAATAAGGTAGCCGCTAGCCACAGGTGAATTAAAATTCATACTAACTTGAAGTAAAATAAAGGAGTCAGTTCCTCAGTCACACCAGCGACATTTCAGATGCGTATAGCCCCTGTTTGTAATGGCTGCCCTACTGGACAGTGCTGATACAGAACGTTTACATCTTCACAGAAAGTTGTGTGGGAGATGTGGGAGACGGGACCCACGCCACCAGCCCTTGGTAACCTCATACACAGTGTGTCTAAAACAGAGCTTACCTTTTGTCGTATCAGATCTGCTCTGCTCTTGTGCGACTGTGTTGGTGACATCGGTGGTTTCACTCCCCATCACTCAGCTTTCCCTCACTAGGATGGTTTTCTTTCACGTCCTTCTGTGCCCACTGCCTGGAGTTCAGGTTATGCTGCCTAGTCTCTTACCTGGGTATCTGTAACGGACACCTAACTGACCACCTGCCCTCCTTCCTCCACGAATCTGTCGCTGCTCCGTAAGGGATGTGTTCTGAAATGTAATCGATTGTTGTATGGTTTAATTCTTAGGTCAGTTCCTTACTGATTTCAGAGTATTGCTGAGAGTTCTTATGTTGTGATAGAAGACTCTTTCCTGCTCTTTCCTACTGTCCTTCTATTCCCACTTCCATTCCTTCTCACCCTGTACTTTATTTTTTAGTAAAGCTGTTCTTTCCTGCATACCCCATGCTCTTCCTTCTCTGTCTTTGCTCATTTTGGTTCTTCTGCCTGACAGAATTAAACTGAAACTTACAAACGTAGGTGCAGGGGCTTTTACCCTCCAGCTTTAGTTCCTTTTCATTGTATCTCTGAAACTATTACCTTCCATGCATTAGACTACTTACTCACTGGGTACAAGTGCTAGCGGTTTCTCAGCATTTATTCCTGCCACTGTTTCTTTGTTTACTTTGTTTCCTTCACTTGTAATAACATTTTTCCATTTCATTTTTCAAAATCTTGTCCAGTTCCTCAAGACCTATCTTAAATCTTAGCTTCTCAATGAACCTATTTTTGATTCTTTAACTTAGAAGTAATTCCTTTCTTTTCCTGGGACTTAATCTTTTTTTTTTTTTTTAAGATTTTATTTATTTATTTGACAGACAGAAATCACAAGTAGGCAGAGAGGCAGGCAGAGAGAGAGAGGGAAGCAGGCTCCCTGCTGAGCAGAGAGCCCGATGTGGGGCTCGATCTCAGGACCCCGAGATCATGACCTGAGTCAAAGGCAGAGGCTTAACCCACTGAGCCACCCAGGCGCCCCCTGGGACTTAATCTTTGATGGTTTATCATGTTTTCTTGCATTGTAGTTATTCCTATCCTTTCCTTTTTTTATCTTCCTAGAGTTTAAGATGCTTTTGATTGGGAGAAGTTGTTTTGTTATTAGTATCCATCACAGAACTCAAAGTCCTGCTTTCCATAGTGAATTCTTAGAATGTGTTTGAATTATATTGCAATCTGTGCAACAGCTTTTTAAGCTGTAAAAACAGGATTAATCTTTTCACAGTCATATTCGACCATTTGCAAGTGGCACTGTAAGCAGTGACTCTTGTCTTTGACTGCTGGATGCCTTTTGAATCTTTTCTGTTTCTATCCCAATGCAGAGGGCTGTTACTTTTTTAGATCTTTTTTTTCTTTTTTTTTTTTTTTACAGGACAAATTTAAGTACCGTGAAAGTTATTGCCTTAATGTTTTGCTTATTCCAAGGAATATTTACATTTTTTTTCAAGAAAGGGGCGTCCGGACAGGTGTTTATAGTAGCCAGTCTGATTTCCCTAGCATGCAGGTCATTTTGGGCACGCTCTAAGGCTTCCATTGTGCCTTACCTCACCCTTAGTTATGCATCTGCTTTCCAATAGCAAGGACCCAGCAGAGTTTGCTGAGAGTTTACTGTGTTTCTGATGCTGTAACAAGTGAAGAAGCCTGTCGCGGCTCATCTTGCTGTCAGGATCCAGGCATAGTTTCCTGCCCTTGGTGTATGCATAAAAAATGAGGGAAGGAATGCAGGGGTGAAGAAACCTGGGGGAAGGATTTTGAATAGGTATTTGGTGTGTGGAAGAAACCTTATATCTTATTTATTTCTTCTTCCTAGTATTTCGGGGAAAAAAAAAAAACAGTTGTATTAACTGCCATTTACTAACTGCTTATTCTGAGCAAATTATTGAACTTCTTTGTCCCTAGATTTCTTCATTTGTGTAGTGGAATTAATCTAAAGTGGTGATAAGAAAAGTACTTACCTCATAGGCTCTTGAGATGATCAAATTAGACAATACTCATTAGACTCCTAATACAGTGTCTTGCACAGTAAGGTCTCTTGGTAAAGGTTAGTTGTCTTCTCATTATACCATTCTGGAGGTTTTCTTTCCTTTCCTTTTTTACTTTCTCCTATTTTCCTTAAGTTTTCTTCCTGGTTTCTATTAATAAAACATTTAAGAATGTTCGGTATGCTGCAGATATTTTTATGAGACCCTAAGATGGAGAAAACAATACATAAATACTTATTCATTGTTACAAAAGTTGCATTAGAAGGGATTATACCCATTTGACATCATTTTTAGTCCCTACTGCACTTATCAATTTCTTGCTTTCCCCAGAAAGGTGACAGGGTTTTCACTACTAGCACCATCTCAGGGGGCTATGCCGAGTATGCTCTCGCAGCCGATCACACCGTTTACACGCTACCAGGAAAACTGGACTTGAAGCAAGGAGCTGCCATTGGTATTCCCTATTTTACTGCTTATCGAGCCCTGCTCCACAGGTAATGACACACACAGTCGGTCATACGGCCAGTATTGCCTGCCTTCCTACCACGCATCCATGTCTCTCGTATTTGGTTACTATTTAGTTACCATTAAGCATTTATGGACTGGAAACTGTGCTAATTTGGGAGATTATTCTAATCACTGGGGATACAAAGAAGAGCAGAACGCTGTCATTGTCTTTAAGATGCTGACAGTCTAGTTAGAGAGACAGACATGAGAGTAATAATATTGATGTATAATGTGGAAAGTACGGTGGTGTAGATGTGCATAGGGATTTATGGGATCATAAGGGATGTAACAGTGGTGATAAGATAGGGCTTCCTGCCAAGATGTGAGGCTTGGATTATTTTAAAGTCATGGTTCAAAAATCTTGTTATCCAGCCCTAGAAACTAATTGCTGCAATTTAAAAATACCACGTAGGGCCCTTCCTTAGACCCACTGGTCAGTTTCCACGGCTGGGATCTGAGAATTTATATATATATATTTTTAAAGATTTGATCTTTAAGTAATCTCTATACTCAACATGGGGTGTGAACTCACAACCCAAAGATCAAGAGTCATATGCTCCACCAACTGAGCTAGCCAGGCACCCTTCTGAAAATCTGTACTTTAATCAGGGAGTTTTCTTGGGAAAGAACACCTGGTGATGTGGGGGGAGGGTAGGCAGAGGAAATTCTGGACAATGGGAAAAGCCTGCTGTTGGGGGTGAATATCATGATATTTAAGGAGAGCTATAGCAATTTGATTTTGTTGGATAGAATATTTCAAGGCAAAGAGTGGTGTTGCATTAGGTTGGAATATAGTAATCTTTTAATAAATATTAGCTGTCACATGAAATAGGTAGGTTTCAGATTGTAAAAAGCAAGATGATAGAGCTCACACACTGTTCTGTAAGGGATTGGGGTCATGAAATGTTTTATTCAGGAGAATGATACTGTTATATGAGTATTTTATTAAGATTACCTATGAGCTATGTGAAGGATGGATTCAATGACAGGAATGGAGAAAGAGATTGGAGGGTCTTATACGAGTGTCCTTTAGGCAAAATACTTAAGGGCCAGAGGAAGGGCCATGGTAGAAAAGATGTAAGGGAAAGGACAGCTATTAGAGGGTAAAATCAGTTGTGTTTGGTGACTGTTTGCTGTGGAGAATGAGAGAGAAGATGAACTTAAGAGATACTTCTAGCTCTTTAGGTTGGGTAATGTTGAACTATGACAAAGAAAAGAAGGAAAAAGTTTCAGAGGGAAGCTTGGTCCAGTTTTGGAGTTGAAACCAAGATAGGTATTGTGATGGAGAAGATCAGAAACCTGTTGGGTGAAATTATCTGATACCTAGAGACTAAAGATGTCAACATGGGGCTGTCAGCCGGTGGGTGGGAGTTGACAAGATGAAAGTGACTGAAATCCTTCAGGGAGTGAAGAACAGTGGAGTGAGAATAGAAAGTTAGAGAACATCAGCATGTAGGAGTATAGTCAGAGGTAGGGGAAAGAGACCTAAGAGACGAAAGGAAGTGTTTGCCAAGGCCAAGGTTGTCTAGAGGTCATGGTGTCTATAATAAACACCTGTTAAGTTCATGTTCTTTGAAGACAGAAGACTTGGGTTACAGTACTGTCTTCTCCTAGCAGCCATATGACTGTGGTCCAGTTACTTTCCTGTCTCAGCCGTAGTTTACTGGTTTGAAAAACGTGAATACTAATAACACCTCCTTCCTAGGGGTGTGGTGAGAATTCAGTGAGGTCATACCTGTTAAGCTCAGTACAGATCCCAGTGCAGAGTAAATATTCCTTCAGTGTTGATAGTGTTAGGGGCAATAGTTGATGTCACTACCAAGAAGGAAAGCTAGCTGTCAAATGCAAGAGTGAGGTGTGTTTGGAAAAAAGAGCAGTTGGGCTTAGCAATTCAGAGGTGATTGGTGACTTGAGTCAGGTCACTTTCAGTAGAGTGGTGAGACAGAAGTTTGAGTGGGCTGAGGAGGGAGGTGGAATTGGGTTCCTCAAATGGAGGTAGTTAGGGAGGCGGAAGTAGAAGAGTACTTGGGAATTTGTGGGGATAAAAGTATAGACGGGAGTTGAATATGTCTATAGCTGAGGAAAGATCTAGCAGAGGGAGCAATGGAAGGTTTGGAAGAGGGTGGAGTGGCAGGTGGTGGGATGGAAAGACGTAGAACACGTGGAGAGATTGGCTTCAGACATCAAAAGGACAGCTCTTCTGCTAAACCTAGAAGCGGTGAAGATGGTATAACTATGGAAAAGTTTGTGGGTAGGAAGAGGTGGAGTGTTGAAGGAACTCATAAGAGATTGCCTCACTTTTCATCATGAAATAGGAGGCAAAGTGATCTTTTGACAATCAGGATGGAAGTGACACCAAAATGCATGATCACGTGATTTTATTATTATTTTTTTAAATATAGTACATCACCATTTGGATAGATTATCAAGGAAGTTAGATTTTAACATTAATCCAGGGCTGGAGTATCCGTGGCATAATGCGGTAGCATGAAGGAGGTGAGAGCACGGGAGATGAAGAGAGAGGAGTTGGGTTGAACTACCATGAGGTCCTGGCTGGCTGATGCAGGAAACAGGACCAGGAGGAACTAGTGGGCAGAAATTGAGCAATCAGGAGACAGCAATCTCTGGGAAGTTGAAGAAAAGATGTTGAAAGAATATAGGCTTACAGAATTAGGAGATTACTATCGTAGCACTAGTTGTTAGAGTCTGATATATTTCTTCAATAGAGTGGTTGAGGCTGGTTACCAGGTTCTACCTTGGGAGAGAATTCAGGGGAGAATTCAGGAATTGTGATTTAAGGTTTTCTTCCCAGAGAATGTTGAAATCTGTTAGATTAGGGCTGATTTTGGGGTGGAAGAGAAAGCCTACATGCCAGGTGCTAATCTTCAGTGACTGGGAGGGAGCATGGAACAGCAGCATGGAAGGCCAGGCCAAAGCTCATGCCCCTGCTGTGATCCCCTGGGGGAGATGACTATATTTGTCAGGATTCTCCAGAGGAGCAGAACAACAGAACATGTACGTACAGATTACATACATATATACAGAGAGAGAGAGAGAGATTGATTTGTGGAAACTTGGTGAATTTAAAGTCTGATAGGGTAAACTGGCAGGCTGGAGACTCAGGAAAGAGCTGCAGTTCAAGTTCAAAGGCAATCTACCAGCAGAAGCCCTTCCTGCTCCAGAAGTCAGTTTTTGTTATCTTAAGGCCTTCAACTGATTGGATGAGGCCCTACAGAGACATTCAGAATCATGTTTAACCAAATTCTGGCCCTAGGCCCAGCCAAGTTGACACATAAAATTAACCATCACAATGACTCTGTGCAAGGGTAGAAGGATTCTAGCAGTGGGATTTGGGAGAGGGTTAGCTTGCTTTTTCACCACCCTCCCCAGGTCCAATGGTTTAGGAGGATGTACTCTTAGTGTTTGAGGGGTTGTTTGTTAGATTCTTAAAGGAGCCGTTATTGGGAAAAGTATTTCATATCCCACAGTATGGTATTGGTAATCCTACTCCCTTACATTTATATTTTACTTTTTAAAATGTCAAAGTGTTTTGGTAATAGTTATCTTAGTTTATCATTTCAGACTCACTGCCCTCGGTCCCCTTATTTCTAAACAAGGGAACTGTAAGAAGTTTCATTTACTGCTCATAATTGCCGTTTGTCAGCTGTTGGTACACAGCCTTGAGCATGACTCGGGGTCATTGTGTTCTTAGTCCCAGACTGAATAGAATGTCTGTCCAGTGTGGCCACCCCCTATTTTTCTAGGAAGTAAGAGATTCTCCCTGAGAATCAGATCTGGATCACAGAACAGCTGCTGGATTGGGACATTAGCACTTGTCCATCCAGAGTAATAAAGCATCCCCTAACTGTCTTGCTGCGTGGGCCTTATTTTTTTGGTATAATGAACCGGAAGTGGAAAGAGTATGTCATTTCACTGAAGGATCTAGACATTTTTTGGTGTGACAGGATTGATCATATTTCTTACTGTTGTACCACTGCAGATTCAGCATTGCTCTCTGAAACCTGGGCTTAGAGGCTGTGCGACCTGACCTGATGTTCAAAGGCATGGAGAAGAAAAAGTGGTTTCTTAAATCATCTAACTTCTGTATTTCCTTGGGCATTACCCTGGGTCACAGTATCAAGACTGTGCTTATCATAATCCTCTTTTGAGACACTTTCTGTGGGAATGAATGAGAGACTCCAGGTCCTCTAGGTTTAGCTCTTTCACTTCACGTAACTCCAAAGACTGTAGCCTCCCAGAGGGAAGGTAGCACCCGATGTGCTACCAGCATCCAGCACTGTGCCTGGAACATAATAGGTTCCCATTAAATGTTTGTTGAATGAACAAATGAATTTCATGTTTTCCTTTGTCTGTGACTGAAGAACCCTCATTTGATACTGTGAAGATTGGAGAATATTTTGGGCTGTAGAACAGAATGACTTTCTTGTTTGGGGAAGTGTTAGCTGAACTGAGGGTAGAATTTCCTTAAGAATGACAAACACCTGAGCTTCATTATCTTCAAAGTGAGGTGATGAACCCTTGTCTTGTTTTGCAGTGCCCGTGTGAAAGCTGGAGAAAGTGTTCTGGTTCATGGGGCTAGTGGAGGAGTAAGTATTTGTTTATTTTTAAGTTTATGTTTAAAGGAGCTTATGTGTGTAGGTTTCACATTATATTTCTTTTCAGTCATTTTTAAAAGCCAAGTTAATAAATATAGTCAGTATTTGTAGTCAATAAAGAGATTCCTCTCTGTAGTAAAGCTTCTTAAAATGCTGTCTTCTGAAGGTGATTCCTTGTCATTAGTTTAGCATTTCTCGGTTAAAACATTCAACAGATCACCCCATTAAAAATGTCTGTGTTAGGTTTTCCACCAGTGTCGGGTGCGGACCAAAATAAACTAGCTTTGTTTTTGCCTTCAAGTAGCATATGTTATAAGAGTATTTATTTAGAATTTTAAATAGTTGTTTAAAGTTAATATTAATTCCATATTCCCTTAGATAAGGAAACTAAGGCTCATTAAAGCTTTACCTCTGTTGCCCCAGACAGCACGGCAAAGCCACACGGTGAATTCTCAGACCCTTCTATCTCCCTTCCACTGGTCGCCTGCTGTGCTTTGATGACATTCATGGAATGCACGCTGTACAGCTTTGTCCTTAACACCACAATTCCTGGCTTAAAATGCTAATGTGGGTGGGGGAGGGGACCGAGAACTTTAAAATAAGTTCTTTAGTGAAATAACCCAACACAGGGCTGTCAGAAGCTTCTTCAAGAAACCAGCTGTCAATCTGCCTCTGAGGAGCTTAGAGGAAAAGTTAGAGCTCTGAGGTTGGAATTTAACAAGAAATCCACATGACCTCTATCCTGCATGTAGAGGCTTTGGAAATTTTAGAGATGAGATTTCACGTTTTTTTAAAAAATACAGGGCCTGGGGTTGGATGGCTCATCTTGAGGAAGCTGGTTAACCCTTTCAGAGCATCGTGTATTCCTCAGAGTAGTTGAAAGGAGTAGCCTGTTAAATGACACATTGTTCCGGGAATAATGAATGGCATCCTGAAAATGTGAAATTGCCTCTAAAGGTGGCCAGGTAGTACAGAGCATTCAGCCTATTGTGTTTCTGTTACTTTAAATAGATGAAGCACAAGGTTCCACACTTAGCCTCCTGTCTACCTCAGATCCGTTCTGAAGGATTTCACAGATCAGAGTATTTACTAAAAAGACTAAGATTGTCTTTTGGGGACTTGAGAAAATATGACAGATATACCTTGTCAAAAATTCCCATTGTTTAGCTTCACCGAAGAGGCTATTTTTGGGTTAAATTAAATTTAACCCAAAATAACTAAAGAATCTGTCATACTTGCATTTATTTAAATTGCTTTGGCTTTTAGAGAAGTAACCTGGTGCTCTATATAAAAGGGAGAGGTTTCATAGGAAGAGGAGAGAAGAATTTAAAGAAAATCTTTTTATTCCCTTTACCCTCATGTAAAAAGCCCAGTCACTTCACCATGGTTTAAAAAAAAAAAAAATTTTTTTTTTAAGGCAAAATCCACGCTGTTCTCTGAGCTGGCTGAGTTTGTTAAATCCTTGGCTAGCAGGGATAGGCTGGCGGCCTGGTGTGAGAAGCGCTTCTGATCCTCCCTGCCCTACCAGAGGGAAATAGTACGGGGTTTTGTCTTGCTTCTGTTTGTACTTTCTGTCCTCATTTAATTCAAATTCCTCTGGGATTATGTTGTGTATTTAAATGGTGTGGCATTGATGAACACAGCTGTTATCCAGATACGTTGGTAGGGAGTGCCCTATTTTAGTGTCAGCAAAGTAAATAGAAGAAAAATAGTTGACACATAATGGTACATAATCTGTTGAAGTACTGTTGCTGGTATAATTGTTGACAAGAAGAGCATAAACAGTACCTTCAGAACAGCTCTTAAATGCCTCTTTAGAGTAGAGCAGAAGGAGACATATTTACATTAAATCTTTAGTTCAGATATAGTTTTATTAGAGGCCTGTGTTTTTTTTTTTTAATTTAAAGTAGCAAAAATTAATAGTGCTAACTCCACACTATATTGTATTTCATGGAATTGGATGTCTCTCTGACTCATGAGACCGTGAGTCCCAGGCGTTTGTTTGTTTGTTTTGGTTAAATCAAACAGATCCCTGCCAAAACCCAACTGAGTTCAGACTCGACACTCCCATATGCCACATAATCTTCACAGTCTATTTCAGGCCTGGGAGTCTGTGATTCTGTTACAGTTTTAATCAGTTTCTATTATCATTTTTCATCTTAATTCTTTTCTGTCGTGCCCAATCTGTAATGGTTTTACCTTCCTCTGAATCACTGGTTATCACTGAGGGGCCGTTTGGCATCATCCCATCTCCCCCTTCAACATTTGGGGCAGTGTCTGGGGACATTTTTGGTTGTCACTGGGTGGAGGGGCTCTGGTGTCTAGTGGATAGAAACCAGACATGCTGCTAAACATCCTTCAAAGCATAGGCTAGCCCCTGCAACACAGAATTGTCCAGCCCCAAATGTCAGTAGTGCTAGGTTTGAGAAGCCCTGCTGTAAATGTGTGTGACACTTATCTGTACCATTCATGTGGCCTGTAACCAAACATAGGTTTCCTAGTCCTGCAATTTAAAAAAAAAAACAACAAAAAATTGCTTTTGTCTATATTCCTTATATGCTTTTATTTCTCCTTTATCCTAAGCACATTTATATAGTGATCTAGTGATTTCATGCAGTCCATGGCTTTAAATACCATCTATAAGTGATGAATCTCAAATTTAAATTTCCAACTCAGGATGCTCCCAAGTCCACATGCATATTCAGCTAATTATTGCATATCCTCAGTTAAGTGAGCAAATACCTCTCAGCATTTGCAAAGTGAATGCATGCTCCTCTGGCCATATCTTGCACTGCCTCCCATGTGCCCTACCCTCAAGCCACATTGACCCTCTTTCTGTCCAGGCTCATTCCCATGTCACCAGATGAGCCAGGACCATTCTGCCTACAACATTCTCCACCAGGCTTTCCAGGTCTTCACACGGCTTGTCCCTCACTTGACTCAGGTCTCATCTCTTCAGAGTTGCCTTTCTTGGTGACCTCACTAGTCTCTCTGCCTATCTCCAATAGGCTAGGTTTTTTTTCATAGCACTTTTTTGTAGCTAAATTTATTTTATTCATTAATTTGTGTGTTTGTTATTTTCCCCCTTTCTCAGAACGTAAGTTTCTTGCATGAAGTAGTGTGTGTAGCATATAGTAAACAATAAATGGTCATCATATGGATGAATGAATTAATTTGCTCGTATACCTATCTCTTCTACTTAAATGATGTCACATTTGTCATTTAGCATTTTATATGTACCGTTAAAGTATGAAGTCAGTGAACAAGTTTTGAATGTCTTTAAACCCCTTACCTTTTGCACAAAGTTGGTACTGAGTAAGCATTTTGATACAGTGGTTAAAAACTCAAGCTCTGCAGACTGAATTGGTCCAGCTCTGTGATTTGGCCATGTTCCCATCTCTGTGACCTGGTCAGGTTACTTATATTTTATGAGCTTTAGTTTTCTCATCTGTGGAATATGGACAATAATAATATCTAGCTCCCAGGCTTATTGTGAGGATAAAATAAAGCAATGGGTAAGGATAAAATAAAGCATTGTGTGGTACCTGACACATTATAAATACTCAGTAAAAGTTAGTTATTGTTCTTCTTCTTTCTTTATACCTTATCATAGACTCGGAATTCTTTAAGGATAGGGGAGGACCTAGAAGAACCTTAAGTTTATTACATATATTTGATAAATATTTGTAGGGATGCCAAGAATCCAAAACTAGGTGTTTATATTTTGTTTTTCAGGTTGGACTAGCAGCATGCCAAATTGCCAGAGCTTACGGCTTAAAGGTTTTGGGCACAGCTGGTACTGAGGAAGGACAAAACATTGTTTTGCAAAATGGAGCCCATGAAGTGTTCAATCACAGAGAACCTAATTATATTGATAAAATTAAGGTAAAATAATTCTACAGTTTTATAAAGGTAGATTTTATTTCTTGGGAGACTTACTTTTTTTTGTGAGCTCTTTTCTAAATAGCCACTCTTAAAGTTGTTTGCTGTTTTTTTAATGCCTATGTGTGTTTCACAGTTTTAGTAAACTAAAAAGCAGAGATGTCTAATTTTCAAACCTTTATTCTCATCTGTCTTGTTTATGTTTATCAAATAAAACCTATGCTTTCCAGAGTCTTATAGCTATCAAAATTGGTACTCTTTAATGCAGTCACATTTAAGTAAAGTCACAGCTTTGTATTTAGAGCCCTGAGGTGTTCTTTTCTTTTTTTAGATTTTTTTATTTTGTTTTGTTTTAATCATTTAAATTCAATTACCATATAGTGTATTATTGGTTTCAGAGGTACAAGTCTGTGATTCATCAGTCTTATATAACACCCAGTGCTCAGTACACACGTGCCCTCCTTAATGTCCATCCTCTACCCCTCACCCTCCAGCAACCCTCAGTTTGTTTCCTATGTTTAGGAGTCTCTTCTGGTTTGTCTCCCTCTCTGTTTCGTCTTGTTTCATTTTTTTCCTTTCTTCCGCTATGATCCTGTGTTTTGTTTCTTAAATTCTACATATGAGTGAGATCATATGATCATTGCCTTTTTCTGACTGACTTATTTCGCTGAGCATAATATCCTCTAGCTCCATCCACATTGTTGCAAATAGCAAGATTGCATTTTTGATGGCTGAGTAATATTCTATATTGTAGATATATACCACATCTTCTTTATCCACTCATCTGTAAATGTATTTATTTATTTATTTATTTTAGAGAGAGAGTGAGTGTGGCAGAGGGAGGCAGAGGGAAGGAGAAGAGGGAGAGGGACAGAGATACTCAAGCAGACTCTATGCTGAGCGTGGAGCTGGGGATGCGGCTCTATCTCATAACTCTGAGATCATGACCTAAGCTGAAACCCAAGAGTCAGACTGCACCACCCAGGTGCTCCCCCCCTTTTTTTATATTTGTAGATACTGTGAAATGATCAGTACAATAAGTTCATTAACATCCAACACCATACATAGTTATAAAAGTTTTTTTCTTCTAAGAACTTTTAAGATCTACTCTTTGCAACTTTTAGATCTGTGATACAGTCTTATTAACTATGGTCACCAGGCTCTACTTTTTTTTTTTTTTAAACTGGAAGTTTCTACCTTTTGACCATATTCACCATTTCACCCACTTCCAATCCCCTGCCTCTGGCAACCACGAGATTTTCCCAACCTAATTTCTGTTGGTATAATTTTTCAGTGGAAGGTGAGGTACCTAGAGATTACAAACTGGCTTTGTGTAGCCTAGGGAAAAAAGTTGATTTTTTAATTGGATGCCAAGGAGGAATGAATAATCATTTCCCTCATCCAGAGCAGGGTGTTAGGCTTTAGTTAGTCGTTGCATATAGTCCATTATTAGAGCAGAACTCAAGCAGATTCTGAAGTTCTCTGTTTGCACTGTAGTAGCAATTTACTAAACACTGATTACTTTGCTAAACCTCAAATTACTTGCTTATGTTGAGACTTAAAATTTTCCAAGTACTGATTACTGTGTAACCTCAGCCATTACAAATGGAGGAAAATACGAGGGAGAGTGTATTTATTAGCACTAAATCATCTTGCCAAAAAACTGAGTAAAGCTACTCCTTTGTGTATGTCTAGGAAACCTAGAATTAATTGAGTATTCACTCCTGATACCATCATCCAAGAGTATTTACAAAGATGAAAAATGGCCAGTTATTTTAAGAATATGTTTTTGTTTTGCAGACATATAACTTTAAGACCCTGAAGTCTTATGGCTTCTTTCTCTTCTACTAGGTCCTTCTGCTTAAGTCTCTCTCATTCTCCAGATCACTCCCTTACCCTTTTACCACACCCTTCACCCCCTCTACCACCAACACTTCTTGAAAAAGCAGTGAGTACTTACTCTTTTTACTTCCTTACCGCCCATCACCTTCCACTGCATTTTGCTTGTCAGAGGTCACTGGTGAGCTCCTAATTAACCATCTGTGGCTTTTGACCTGGCCTCATCCTGTGTGATTTTTTGGGCAGCAGCTGACCCTGACCACATCTCCTGAAAGCTGGTTCTCTTCTTACTTCCCTGACTTCATTTGCAGTCCCCTTCCTCCTCATAATACTTAAATGTTGCTGTTCCTTAGCTTTTCCCCTTGGTCTCGTGTCTTCCATGGTGCGAGACCTTCCCCTGATCAGTCTCCTCTATACCCATGGCTTTGTTTGTGCCCACATCCTGCGGATTTCCAGCACTGTTTCTGGCCTGCATTCCCTTCCTTCATGCCATCAGCCTGCTGGATGTGGCCACTGGTCTCCTCATCTGGGACAGACCCACATTTCATTTTTTATTCCTATCTTTTTTTTTTTTTAAGATTTTATTTATTTGACAGAGAGATACCACAAGTAGGCAGAGAGGCAGGCAGAGAGAGAGAGAGAGAGGAGGAAGCAGGCTCCCTGCCGAGCAGAGAGCCTGATGCAGGACTCAATCCCAGAACCCTGAGATCATGACCTGAGCTGAAGGCAGAGGCTTAACCCACTGAGCCACCCAGGCACCTCTATTCCTATCTTTTAATCACCATTCTCCTTCCAACCTGTCAGGTCGGTCACCTCCGTCTGTCAGTTTCCACTCTGACATGCCTTTCAAATATGTCTCCCTCTTCGTTCTCGTCTCTGCTGTGACTTAGTTCAGTCCTCATCTTCACCAGCTTTGTCTGTTATTTATAAGTGACCTAGTAGCCCCTTCTGTCTTCACAGTTTCCTGAATTATTTGGTTCTCCTTTAAAAAAAAAAAAAAGAAAAAAATCTCTAGAAATAACTAAAATGGAAGCTCCATAAGGGTAGGAATTTTTGTCTTTCTTGTTCCCTGCTGCACCTTCAGTGTCTAAAACAGTGTCTGGCACAAAAATTAATTAATGAACACCTGCCCCCCCAAAGTCTACACCCTTTAACATGGCATTTGATGCATGTTCCCAGCCCATAGCAGTTGACAGTGCCTCTCTACCTCTTCCTCTCCCCCCACCCGCCTTCCGAAACACATGCCCCAGCTCCACTGGGATACTTTCTAATCCTGACTTGGACTCTTAGGCCCTAGCTCTTCTGTTTTCTCTTTATTCTGCCTCAGGTGTAGTATCTGCTGGCTCCTCTTCCTTCCTTTTTGCTTAAGGAACTCCTGTTCATTCCTCAGGGCCTAGGACCTCATCTCTGTGGAACTTCCTCTGATCGTGAAAGGTGACCAGACTTACAGCTTTCTTTTTCTCTATAACCTATCGTTTATTTCCATTGTCGCAGCACTTAGCTCATCCCATCGGCCTTGACTGCAGTATGTTTCCATCTTTCTTCCGAGCTTTGTTTTGAGTTCTCTGTGTCCATCTTTGAATCCCCAGTACTTAACAAAGCCTGGCACTGGTATTCTTTTTTTTTTTTTGTTTAATAAAATAAGTATAAGGTATATATGTATAACTTATTTAAGAGAAGAGCCAGTTTTGGATGTTGCAAACCAACATCTCTGAAAACCCAAAAGAAAAGGAGTAGTATGGCAGGCTGATTGTAAATCACTTGGGACAAAACTAAATGCATACAAAGAAAATACTGCAACACCAGATAGCCAATGATTTCCTTCTTTCGTCTTTTGTTTTTTAACAAAAGTGGAAGCCTTTTTGGGATTTGATATTTGTTGTTTGCTTCTCTGTGAAAATACGTTTTGAGGGGCACCTGGGTGGCTCAATGGGTTAAGCCTCTGCCTTCAGCTCAGGTCGTGATCTCAGGGTCCTAGGATCAAGTCCTGGATCTGGGCTCTCTGCTCAGCAGGGGGCCTGCTTCCCTCTCTCTCTGTCTCTCTCTCTGCCTACTTGTGATCTCTCTCTGTCAAATAAATAAATAAAATCTTTAAAAAAAATACGTTTTGAAAACAGAAAATTTTCAACTGAGGAGAAGTATTTTATAGTCAAGTTGAGTCAAAGCACTTGAAATTTATTTAGTATAAATCTTTATCACTTTAGATGTTGTGACTGGTCCCTTGGAATTACATCAACACTATATAATTAGATCATTTAAAAATTAGTGTTATTCGTCTTAAAAATGTAGCATTTTATGTCTTTTGAAACATATTTCTGTAATATATGTGACTGTGATAACTTTTACAGTTTTTTTTTACTTGTTCTCTCTTATCTTACTCAGCATTCTTATTTATTACATAGAAATCTGTTGGTGAAAAAGGAATTGATGTGATCATTGAAATGTTAGCTAATGTAAATCTTAGTAATGATTTGAGTCTTCTGTCATATGGAGGACGAGTAATAGTAAGTATTTTGTTTTTTTTACCACTTTGAGGCTTTACCATATAATTCAGTACTATTTTTCAGTGATCCTTAACTATAGACAAGTTGTTTTTCTTACTAGGTTGTTGGCAGCAGAGGTCCTATTGAAATAAACCCACGGGACACCATGGCAAAGGAATCTAGTATAATTGGAGTTGCTCTGTATTCATCAACTAAGGTAGGAAAAGAAGTGACTCTGATTTTGATAACTTAAACATTGATACAGTTTGCCTACTCAAGCAGACTGACAGTTCCAGTAGATGTTGAACTTAGTTATCTGACTGGGTGGGTATGTTAAGGATTAGTCACTACAAGATAACTGGGGTGGGGGTGGGGGGAGATGTAATTTATTTTCCAAGGCAAGACACTTTTGAGAGAGAAAGGAGATACTGTTAGTAATTACTTCAGGACAATAGGGTTTTTGTAAACTGACACTGCCTCAGGCAAATTGTACTTACGGTTAGTCTGTAGAAAACTTTTTCTGTAGTTCTGGACAAATGACAAAAGCCACATATTTGTAAGGAACTGTTTATGTTCTGACTCTTAGAATTTGAAAATTTTTAATCCTTCTGAAAATTAAGTCATGTGTTCTTCTACAAAAAGACCTTTTTCTTTCATGTAGGAGGAGTTTAGGCAATTTGCAGCAGCCCTTCAAGCTGGAATGGAAATTGGTTGGTTGAAACCTGTAATAGGTTCTCAGTATTTGCTGGAGAAGGTGGCCCAGGCTCACAAAAATATCATCCATAACAGTGGAACTAGTGGGAAAATGATTCTTCTCTTAGAATGACTAATTCTTTCATGTCTTCCTAATGTAGTTAGAGGGTTCCTGCCCCAGTTTTACTCACACTACCTTTGCTCTAATCAGCATTTGTTGGAATCAGTGAGTTTCTCATGTTAAAAAACAAGATTTATCTTTAGAGATGTGGTCATCGGAGTACAATTTATTTTACAGCTCACAATATTCTTTACGCCTCCCGCCTGCCTTGAATCAAGAAGTCATTATAGTAGGAAGTAGAATGTCAGTAGTCATTTGGCATTGGGTACATTACAAAAATGCCTGGTACTTGGTCATTAATTCCACACCTTTGACAAAAGCAAGTTAATTCAAAATGAGGCTGTGTGGTTTCCAAGCCTACTTGTTCTTATGAAGGTTCTTTAGTATCTGGTTAGCTCAGAACTGTATCATACTCTGAAGATTTTCTGGACTAAATAAGACCCCTTTTCTAAACTTCTCTCATCTGGATCTGCAAGTCTCTTGCAAGGGCAAGATAATGTCTAGAGAAATTTGTTTTTTAACAAATAGTTTTCCAGTATTTCCCCAAATATTAGCACATCCACTGTGTTGATGGTTGATTGCTCATTATCCATATATTCTGGGAAGAGGACAGCCTTACTTTTGGTGTAGTAAGATAGGTAGGTACGTAGTCTCCTGACAGATACTTCTTGATTGATTTGATTTTCAAACTAGATTTAGAATTATCTGTGTAATGGGAGTCATATGTTTTTGTTTAAATTAGTAAACAAGTCTGACACATGAAGAGTGATCTGCTTTTGTCTTCATTACATGGTGACCTGCAGTAAATTCTGTAGAAAAAATAAAACCTGTGTTTATCTATTTGGTCTTGATATAGTACTTGTCTTACATCTCTTTTACATAATTCCTAATGGTTAATTTCTAACAGTGTTCTGTGCTGGAAGTCCTTATCGAAACTAAAAAAGGAATGATTTCTTAGAAATCTTGACATCAATGTCATGTGCAAGGAAATGAAGTTTGTTAATTTTGTTCTTGCTTTCTCCGTATGCGCGTGGCCTCCTGTATGCATACAAACACACGCACATACACACATATATGTATAAAGAGATTTATGGAATTTTCTCATAGTTATGGGGGCTGATAAGCCTAAATCCCTAGGGTGGGCTAGCAGGATTTCTAATTTGCAGTATTCTTTCTCTGGGAAACCTCAGTTTTCATTCTGAAGGCTTTCAACCCATTGAGTGAAGCCCACCTGCGTTATTGAGCATAATCTACCTAAAATCATCTGGTGACTCTTTGTAAACCCCTAAACGAAACATGGTAATATTATGTTGATACATAAAACCAATCATCACAAGAAGGTGACACAGAGACACAGATGAGGGGCACTTAGTGTAGGTTGGGATTTCTAATTACATGTTTAATATTTTTGATGTATTTGTTAGCTGCCTCCATCCAGAGTAGCTTTGGCCCTGGAAGTACAAAATAACATGCAAGCTTCTGAAGACAGAAAAAGGTGGGGGGGGTGGTAACATTTTATAATGTCCTTAGCTTAGCTTTCCTGAGGCAAGGGGCTATGTGTGCCAAGGGGCTTCCATAATGCACAGTGTAAAGAGCATTTTTTCTGTGCAGGATAACATTCAAGAATAACCAAACCTGTCGGGTCACTTTGACCTGGCTCTGCCTGCCTCCTCACCTACATCTCGCAGACGGGAAAACACGTCAGCTCAAACCTTCATTATTTTTCCAACACTGCCATTTTTTAGCGTAGTGATTTTTTTAAAAAAATACATCATTTGAAAATTGTCATAGGATGATTTTACTAATCCATAGGAAAACATGAGCTATTTAGGAAGAGCGCATATTTGGGGAATTTCCCACATCCAAGAAAAGAGCCCAAAAATGTTAGGAATTATAAAAAAGGATCTGGATTCACTGTGGTCTAGAGTCAGGCTGCCAGGTATTGGTGGGACAGCCCATGTATTCTCTTTAATGGTGAGTCTAAATCTCAAACCCACTGTGGGATACAAATGCTTGTCAAACATGTTAAACATGCCAGAGGTTGGCAGTCCCTGGTTATCCTTTCCCAGCTTCATGCAGAAATACCCACAAAGATTGTGACAGTACTACCAGCTAAAGAGGAAATCCTGTGCCAAAATCCAGTGGGGATTTGTATTAACTCCAGTGCCCATCATTTGATTCATTGATCAGATTAGCTGGAGAGAAGTTAAGAAGAAGCCCCAACTCAGTCACTAACTCAGGGCACAGAAGCTACACCATCTAGAAAATCAAGTCCCCGTTGCTAGCAGTGCTAGCCAGAATTGAATACTGCCCACCCGTGCAGTATTCCTCAGCCCCTTTCTTTCACCTGCATGATGGAAACTACAGATTTCCATTTTTGGTACAACTGCAGATTCAGGAGTGAGGGGCACTTTGCACCCCTGGATATACAGTCACCGCAAAGAAGTCTTAAAAATGGATGGAAGGTGGAGGATCCCTAGATTGTAGCAAATACTGAGAGTGCATAACACTTGTTCAAATAATATTTGGCTGTGGCAGTTAGCTTAGTGATTAAGCCTGTGAACAGGGAGGAGGCCCACGGACCTGTGGAAACAGGGTTGTTAAAACCATGGGTTATGGAGGCAGAAGACCTGGCTCTCCTACTGATCAGTCACAGAGTCCTGGGCAAATTGCTTCATCATCCAGAATTTCTGTTTCCTCACACATAACATGGGAGTGATATCTATTACAGCATTTGTAGGAAGTAAGCAAGTTAAAGTCTGTGAGGTACTTAGTGCTCTGGTGTGTACAAAGGAGTGTTTAAATAATTACTTTCATTTTTATCAGCCATGAAGAAGGAATAAATTGAGTTAAAGAAAAGGAATGAAAAGGGAGCATCCTGAAATATGAAAAAAAAAAAAAAAAGGAAATTCCAAAAGCAAATTCCCATAGGAGGACAAATCTGCATAACTGACACTACTGAAAACTTTATAGGTCATATGGGTAAATTTGATCACTCAAAAAATTTGGTCACTCAAAAAAAAAAAAAGAAAAGAAAAGATGAGAAAAAATTAAGGTATGGCAAACAAAAGAAAGAAAAAGGAAAATACAATTTTTGAATTCTGTGTGGGCTACCCCAAAGAACACAGAAAAATGAAAGAAGCAATAATTAAAGAAAACTTTCCTGAACTAATGCAAAGAGCTACGTTTATTTACTGACAGTTTTTATTAGATCTATGCAAAATTAATGAAAACTACTGGTAATAAGAGATAGCCTTTAAAATTTTTAAAAGTCACCCATACAGATATTGAAAGGGAGCATACAGAGGAATCATATTTGCCGTTATATTATTCAAGACCTGGAGAAAGCAAGAGAACAAATGGAAAGACTACTAATGAGTTCAGAAAGGTAGCCAATTGCATAATAAATATACAAAGATTAATATAAACCTGTTAATCAGTTAGAAAATATAATGGAAAATGGTCTATTCATAATAGAAGTACTACTATTACCAATTTAAAAAACAGTGAAATATAAGTGACCAAATTTACAAAAAACATACAGGACCCTTAAAAAGAGAACTGTAAAACTCCTGGGGAACATAACATAAGATAACAAAATATAACATAACAAAAGATTTCTTGGTTGGATTCATGTATAGATTTTTCCCTCATACTCTGAAAATTCAAAGTTATTCATACCAAAATTTCAATAGGACTTTTTAGAAACTTGAAAAATGTTTCTAAAGCTTTTCTTTGGGGAGGTGGGGATGGGCAAGTAGCCAGACAATTCAGCAGGGGAGGGAAAAAAAAAGTTTGGAACGAGTCTCAACAGACATGAAATTTTTTCCCCTAAGTTGGAGTTACTAAAATACTGGTCCAAGATCAGTGGAACAAAGGAGAGTCTAAAAATGTTTCTCACTTTTGGGGGTGACAAATACAGCTTTTTTTTTCTTTTAAGATTTTTTTTTTTTATTTATTTGTCAGACAGAGATCACAAGTTAGACAGGGAGGCAGGCAGAAAGAGAGAGAGGGAAGGAGGCTCCCTGCTGAGCAGAGGGCCCGATGCGGGACTCAATTCCAAGACCCTGGGATCATGACCTGGGCGGAAGGCAGAGGCCTAACCCACTGAGCCACCTAGGCACCCACAAATACAGCTTTTAAGTGGAGAAAAAAGTTACTTATTAAGAGACCTGGCTTCCCATTTGGGAAAAAAATAATAAGCTAGAATCTTACTTCACATGTAATCTCAATAGACTTTGAGATGGTTCAAAATTTTAAATATAAATAAAATTATATAAAACAAAAACATGGTAGAACATTTTTTTTATAATCTTGAGAGGTGAACAGCCCCTTACATCATTAATCAGAAGCCCAAACTATCAAAGAAAGAGGAAAATAGAAAAAATAAACAAAGATCTGTAGTAACAGATAAAGATTACTAATCTAAAAAAAGAAAAAAAAAAAGAATTCTTCAAATTAATTAGCAATTGATGAACACCCCACAGGAGACATGGAAATGAGTGGAAAATCAATGCAAGAATAGATGCATACAGCTGGCAAACTTAGGGAAAGTGTTGTTCACCCTCATTAGTAATACAAGTAATGGGCACTTATGGACTATTGATGGAAGTATACAGTTGTTTCTCTTCTGGGGAGCAGATAGAAGGTGTATTAAGTTTAAAATGTGGATCTCCTTTGACCCATTAATTCCACTACAAGCATTTGTCCTAATGAGATGGACATGTCTGTAGAGGCATATGTCAAGATTGCTTTCACTGAGCCTAGCTAATCATAGTAAAATATTGGAAACAACCCAGATTTTCATCAATTAAGTGATTAAAAGCTGATGTATTTGTACAGCACAGTATGATGTAGCTATTAGAATATCATGTAGATATATAGCTACTAACATGGGAAGATGTTCAGGGCACAGTATTAAAAATACTAAGTTTAAAAAGCAGATACAAAATATGTATAATTATAGTTCTATTTCATTGTGTTTACCTGTGCATTTCAAGAGATGCCTGTTAAATACTCAGAAGGGCTTGATTTAGTAGTAGAATTACAAAGATTTCCCCCTGGCACTTTTTTCAACATTTTCAAATATTTTTTAGCAGAAGTTACTTCTAGGACATCAGCAAAATTTTATTTTAAAGAAATGCTTCCTTAGGGCGCCTGGGTGGCTCAGTGGGTTAAAGCCTCTGCCTTCGGCTCAGGTCATGATCCCAGGGTCCTGGGATCGATCCCCGCATCGGGCTCTCTGCTCGGCGGGGAGCCTGCTTTCTCCTCTCTCTCTCTCTCTGCCTGCCTCTCCACCTACTTGTGATCTCTGTCTGTCAAATAAATAAATAAAATCTTAAAAAAAAAAAAAAGAAATGCTTCCTTAAATAGTAAATATTAGGAACTAAAGAATTTAATATCACAAATCAAAATAAATGACTAAGTTTCAGAGCACATATATATGTGTGTGTGTATATATATAGAATCTTCTGCAATTATATGCCTGCATATTCAGAATTCAT